CCCCTGGCCACCACGTAGACACGCCCCTGCGAGGAATAAAAGTCTTATCTTGCAAAACCGTGTCATTTTCTAAAAAAAAAAAAAAAAAATGCTTTTTAACCACAAATGCACATTTTGCACTAGCTCCACGATGCTCGTCCACAAATTCACTCATTACGTAGTCACGTTGGAAAGGTCATGTGCGGTCAGCTCTTCGTCTGTGTACTCCGGTTCAGAAAGGAAGGGTCGGGTGAAAAACTCCCATCTCATTTTCTCCTCCAACTTCACAATCATCCGATTGTGTTTGACCTTTTTTGCAAAGGGCGTTTGACTCTCTTTACATGTTTGCGCTGTAAACACTGGGTTGGTGCTTCCGCCTACATCACGCGTGACCTTTCCAACGTTATTACGTAATGCATGAAGTCCAGCTAGTGCAAGACCAGCATCTGGGGTTAAAAAGTATACACATTTAAATTGTTTTAAGAAAATGACTGATCGTTTCACTAGATAAGACCCTTATTCCTTGGCTGGGATCGTGTAGAGCTCTTTGAAGCTGCACTGAAACTGTGATTTGGACCTTCTGCCCGTCTGTCCCCATTGAGGTCCATTATATGGAGAAAAATCCTGGAATGATTTACTCAAAAACCTTCATTTCTTTTGCAACTGAAGAAAGATAAACATGAACATTTTGTATGACATGGGCGTGAGTAAATGATCAGGACATTTTTATTCTGGAAGTGAACTAATCCTTTAACGTGTGTATTACCATGTAAACTAGTGGGCATGACATCAGATGCCCGTTTCCTAGTGCTAATGAGGTTAGCTTTGAGCACAGTAATGGCCTGTTTCAAACTCGCATATTAGAACTAACTCGAATTCAACACCAGACATGCTGTTCATGTTCCTAATGTGTTTCAAAAAAAGAGTTTGAACCACAATCCAAATGGAAATGTGAAAATGGTGGAAACATAACTGAAAATAATATTATTGCTTTAAAATGTAGTAATATTACTAAACTCTGATTGGATGTTCAGTTCAGCAAATGAGTAAATCAAGACTGTACAGTTCGAATGTTACGTAATCTTACCCGAGCATTTCAATACGCCATTTTTTTCATAACAACATGAGCCGCTTAACATGAAGTTATCAACATAACTGATATTCAAAGTTGTCAGCTTACTTGGTGTGCCCTGCAGAGTTTAGCTTTAACCCTAATTAAACACACCTGATCCAGCTAATCAAGTCATTCAGGCTTATTTGAATACTACGTGGTATGTGTGTTGGAACAAGGTTGAAACAAAACTCTGCAGAGCTCCGGTCCTCCAGGAATTTGACACCCCTGCCTTAAGGGAAACATACAGTGCATTGTATTTTGTAGGCATTCAGTGGGCAGTCCTTAAAGGTGAGCCTCATATACACAGTCTCAGAGGTGACAACTTAACCACATCATTTGCATTCCCACAGTCCCCCCGAGAGTTCTAATAACTCTCATATAATGCAAATTGAAACCAATAGTCCATTCGCCCATCTTGTTGTTTTTGTAACATAACCATCTTTCAGTTTTGTAAATAGTTACACATGTAACTTTTTCTGTCACAGAGTTTGTTAAAAGATGGATAGAAAGAAAAAATGTACTGCATGTTTATTTATGATGACACAGAAAACCATGTAGCTTAAAAGTGGAAGCACTAAATGTCCATGAAGCCAAAATAAAATCCCTCTTGTGGGCAGGGCTAGCAGTGGTCAGTTCTCATTGGCTACTGAGTTTTGATTGACTGAAGAAAGGAAGACATCAGTGTTGTGTTTATAAGTGTGACAGGCGGTTTAAATTTACAGTAAAACCACATCATTATAACACATCATATGTTGTAATTTAAACTGGGGAAATTTGGAGATATTCCAGATTTTGGAATTTACAGGACTTAAAGGGAATTAATTGGAAATTTGGGGTAATTTATACAAACTTTATCATATACAAACATAAATATAAAAAGCCCCATTAAATGTCAGTTGGTACACGTAGCATTATGTAGAATAAGTGGCATTGTTGCATTATGTAAAAAAACAATAATGCAATGCCATGCACAGATATATAAATCGTTAGCTGAACTGTTGAAATATTCTGGAATGGTAGAAATAGTTTGCAGGTGATGCTGGACAAATGAATAGAAATAGGCTATTAATTATAGACTAATCTGCAACTTTTGCAACCCTTTTTCAAAAATCATGTAGCCATCTAGGTAACACTTTATTTCGATAGTCCACTTTAGACATTCTATTAACAGTAAGTAACTTTGCAACTACATGTCAACTAGCAGTTAGTAGAGTATTAGTAGACTGTCTGCTTAATATCTTCTAACACTTTCTTTGTCAACTTATTCTAGTATCCCTAAACCTACCCTAAGTCTACTCTGAGAGTTAGTAGACATCTAGTTGCAAATTAATGAGAATTAGTTTACATGTAGTTGACATGTAGTTACAAAGTTACTTATAGTTAATAGAATGTCTAAAGTGGACTATCGAAATAAAGTGTAACTGCCATCTATATTGCTGGTGCATTGTAGTTTTGTCTAATTCTATGAGAAGGTGAAGACTGATACTTAAAACAGCCTCCATTCCTGTACATATTGTACGGTGATACCTGTCATGCTCAGTACAAAGAACAACGAACCTATGCTGCATATGAACAAAGTTTATTTGATAACAACAGTTCCTGCAGAAATAGTCCAACAAACAGAACAGCCTTAAATAATGTGTTGTCTAATGAAGAGTTGAGAGCTGGAGTTCTTTATCAATGCATCAAAATTACACCGGCAGCATGGACAGTGATTATGATATGATTAATAGTTTTTATTTTTTTTTCTAGTTGCTTTTGACCTATAATAGCTTCAGGTTTTGAATGATTTTTCTGATATCTTTCCGTTTGATGGCATTTCTTTGTCAGATTAATAGAATGTCACTGCTTTCCCTTGATCAGTTGATATTTAGATCCTGTAGTGTTTTAGATGTACTGTTGCTGTGAGCTTTCTGTGTTTTCTGTTTTGAAGGCTTCAGGTCCATATGCTGAATGGAGCCCTTCTAGCGCTTCTCTTCCCAGTAGTCAACACTCGACTGGTGAGTATATTCCAACCCCTAGTAAGTTAAGCGCTCTGTTCAAATCATGCTAACACCAAATAAGGCTAGAACATGTATGTGTTGTCTTCAAAACATACTTTTTTTCCCTCCCATCACAGCTTCCATTTGAGAAGGAGATATATTATATTCAGCACTCCATGCTGTATCTTGTGCCAGTCTACCTCTTCAGAAAAGGAGGTGAGTTTCTGAAGTTTGGTCAAACAGTCGTAGTGCTGGAGCATGGATGGTATTTTAGCTTCCCTGTTGAAAAGTGAGCTATAGTACTGTTGAAATCAGTGCTGCATTATTTATAGAGCTCATCCAGCTATGCCAGTTGTGAAATGGCAGTTATGTTGACGTCAGAATGACACTTCGCGTGCCCAGAGTAAAGTATATGCCAGTAGAGCAGTGATGCTCAAGAGAGAAATGAGCAGTGTTGGGTAAGTTACTGTTGTACAAATGACTAATTACTACTTTAAAATTGCTTGTGTGTGTGTATAATAAATATATATATATATATATATATACACACACACACACCTTGCTACATGTACTACGTTAGGCTAACCGAGACTTGTTATTTGCACTTATATATTGTTGCTCTTTTGTTAGTTTTGACTGTCCTCATTTGTAAGTCGCTTTGGATAAAAGCGTCTGCTAAATGTAATGTAAATCTGTGAAGCAAGATATTAAGGGGCAGAATTTACTGTGTTCACTGACCTTATTTGTTCACGACAGGTTGAAATATTGGATATATTTTTACACACATACAAGTCTTAAGCCAATAATACGTAGAAGAAAAGTCTGCTTTAAGTGTGCGTTCACTGCTAAATTGATATATTTTTATACAGTTTTGCATATACAGAATGGCGATTCATCATTTAATATATTAAGAGGAATAAATGGAGGCATTTGCGAATTTAGTTGTAGTAGCATTTTCATAGTAAAATCGTGAAAAGGTAAATAAATTTCGTTACCATCTTATCCCATCTTACCCTATAATTCTCAAGTTTTGTGGTTATATTTTTGAAACGTTATTGCAATGTTTATCCAGGTGTATTGTCTTGCCCCCTTTGTAAGTGCTTTCCTATAATCACAGTTTTGTTTGAAGGATGAGTTGAAATTCTGTGTGGCAACAGATGTAGCTTAACCTCTACTGGACCCAGAACATCCCTTTAAAACAAATGATCAAGCATCCAGATAAACATACGGTTCTGACTTGGAGAGATCTGGGTTCCACATGCATCTTTAAAGACTGTGTCATGTGTCTCATTTGTCAGGTGTGTATAAGCCAGAGCCACTCAGAGACATGTGGTGGGCGCTGCTGTCCACGGGCATCCTCTTCCTCTACCACTTTGTGTTCCTCCAGGGCCTTGGAATGGTATGACAATCAAACACTATTGCTAAATAATTCAGAACAGCATACTAGCATACTACTCTTTGTATTTCTGCCATAGAAGTATGGAAGAAATAGTAATAGTTGGTAGCTTATGACTATGTTAGAAATGGAATGCTTGCTTACTACTTACTGAATACTGCATAGTATACACTGCATGCTTCCCACTGTATTTAAGTGAAACAGTACCCATTATTCTACAACATTCCACTGCTTTGTCACATGACCTCATTGCATTGTGTTGGGTTTCAGCAAGCGGTAAAGTAAGTAGTGCATTATGCGGCACAAGTTCTAGAGTTCCGTTTTTCTAGAATTACAGTCACAGTTCATAGGTGTTAAATGTCATATGAAAGCCCATTAAAAAAAAAAAGGTAATTGCGACATTTTGTCTTGAAATACCGAGTTTACATCTCGCAGTTGACTTTATTTTCCTCAGAATTGCGAAATATAAACTTGAACTTGACATTTTTCTCAGAATTGTGAGATATAAACTCGCAATTGTAAGAAAATCGTCTAATTTTCTTCAGAATTGGACCATATGTTTATATCTCACAATTAGTCAGAATTGCGAGAAACAAAAATCTGCATTGTGAGGAAATAAAGTCAGAATTGCGATATAAACTTGCAATTGCGAGAAAAAAGTCAGAATTTTGAGATAAACACAACTGCGGAAAAAAAATAAGAATTGCAAGATATAAACTCACAATTGCGAGAAAAAAAAGTCAAATTGTGAGTTTATATCTCGAATTACGAGATATTAACTCGTGATTGCAAGAAAAAAGTCAGAATTGTGCGATTAAAAAGTTGCAGTTACCTCGTTTTATTTTTTTATTCAGTGGCAGGCTTCCATAGTTATATGTATGTGCTGTAGAAATATTAATTTAACCATTGTTTAATCATTAGACATTAACAGCTTCAAAAAGCAAAGCGTAAATCGTTTCAGAATGAGCACTTTGACATTTGTCTTGTGTATTTTAAGGTGTCTTGTCCATCTGATTTTCGCTACTGTAATGAATAACATAACTATTTAAAAAATGTTTACATGCTCAGGACGTCTGTGTAGTTAGAATGTAGGAGACTTCGGATAAAAAAAATAAAATAATTCTGACTCATTAGGTGAGGTTTTCTCATCAAAATGTACAATTTCCTAATAATTCAATACAATGTATGGGAATACTAGGAAATTACAATATTTTTTATTATAGTATTGTTAAATGTTTGTACATTTATTACATGAACAGTGTTCTTGTTACTAAAATTGTATCTCTTCAATTGACCTTTTATGTCTACTATTTCATATATCAGGCATGGCAGACCTTATTCTGAATAAGACAATATTATGATTAAGGTGTTTACATGAGTGGCTTTTAGAATATTCCTTTCATGTTCCCGTTTTACATGTTACAGTACATAGATCGATTAATGGCACGTTCCCTCAGAATTTCACGTATCAACATAAAGTTCGTCTTCGGTACCAAATACAGTTTAGGGTGTTTTATTTTCAATTTTACGAAAGCTTCAAGTGCAGTTAATTATATGTCATGCTATACTGCAAACAGACAACGACGGATACAAATGTGCCTTCTTTTTTGTTTGCCGTCAAACTGTAGAGCACTGCCGTGTGTGTATCCTGTCGCAAAATGCGGCGAAAAGTCCTACAAGACGGTAATGGTTTGATTAAGGTGTTTACATGTCTATACTGCACTTCAATAATGCGACTAAAATAGGAATACTCCACATGTCTTAATTCGATTTGTATTTACTTGGAGTATGACTTTAGCCGGATTAAGGTAATCAAAAATCTGTTTACATGGTAGATTCTTAATCAGAATATTGCCTTAATCTTGTTAATATCGGATTATTGTTGTCCATGTAAACCTACTCCGTGTCTATATTTCAAATATTGAAATATGTTTATGTAGCCTTATGTGATAACCTACATTGTGTTCTTTTTAAATTGTATTTATTGTTATTTTTTCCATGTTATTACATGACATGTTACATGCTGTTTTATTACATGTTACATGACATGTTTAGGGCATGTTTGTTCTGGTTAATCTCTAGTTTTTGGCTGCAATATACACTGATCAACCACAACATTAAAACCTCTGAAAAGTAAAGTGAACAACACTGATTGACTTTAACAAGGGCCAAATAGTGATTGACTGGGTCAGAGCGTCTCCAAAACGGCAAGTCTTCTGGGGTGTCTGTTCAGATCACACACAAGAGCTACTATAGCTCAGATTGCTGAAAAACGTCATGCTGGCCATGATAGAAAGATGTCAGAACACACAGTGCATCAGAGTTTGCTGCATATCCACAGACCATCAGAGTGCCCATGATGGCCCCTGTCCATCGCCGAAAACACCTATAATGGGCAAGTGAGTAACTGGACCATGAAGCAATGGAAGAAGCCTGGTCTGATGAATCACATTTTCTTAAATCGTGTGGATGGTCGGGTGTGTGCACGTCATTTACCTAGGAAAGAGATGGCAGCAGGGTGCACTGTGAATGCTGGCTGACTGAGGCAGGGATATACTCTGGGGAATGTTCTGCATAGAAGCCTTGGGCACCACCTACCTAAGAATTGTTGCGGACCACGTACACCCCTTCATGGAAATAGTGTTCCCTGATGGTATTGGCCTCTTTCAGCAGTATAATGCACCTGCCTCAATGCAAAAAAAGTGCAGGAATGGTTCGAGTTCATGGTGTTGCCTTGAGCATCTATGGGATGCGCTGGACCAACAGATCCATGGAGGCCCCACCTTGCAACTTGCAGGACTTAAAGGATCTGCTGCTAATGTATTGGTGCCAGAGACCACAGGACGCTTTCAGATGTCTTGTGGAGTTTATGTCTTGATGCATCAGAGCTGTTTTGACAGCACGAGAGGGACCTAGTTTTATTAGGCAGGTGGATTTTATGTTGTAGCTTGTCAGTGTAGTGCTATCTAATCATTGCACCCACACTTGGAGGATATGACCCTTTTAAGATGATCAAACCCGAAATTTTGAAATGATCATCTCTGGACTGGAAATATTACTTTATTTAAAAACATCAATTGGTTCCTGATTGTATCAGACACTAAAGTGCATGCATGTAATTTGTAGAGTATTTACTCTTAATGTTTTATTTTATGTCTAAATTTAATTATTTGATGTGGCATGTTTGCATTCTATTCTTGCATATCTTTAATAAAACTGGAGGTCAGAATCTGACGTATTGCACATACGCGTACACTATTCTTGTGCACTCCCCTTGAAATAAAATATGCATTAGAATAACATGACACCATTTGAATTATCTGTCATCTGCCATTGGTGCAGGCCAGAGCTGAAGTTATTTCTCGCACTATTTGACGTTTTTCAGACGTAGAAATGTGATAAATGACTTATAGCATATTAACATATTTCGTAAAATGAAGCATGCTATTAAGCAAATTCTGCTGGAATCATCTGTGTTCATGTAGTTCTATGGGTCACATTTTAGTTTGGGGACCAATCTAAACTTGGGGACCTCTACAAACTCCTAATTTGCTGCTTATTAATAGTTAGTAAGATGGTTAAGTTTAGGTATAGTTTTAGTTAAATATGGTCATGCAGAATAAGGCATTAATATGTGCTTAATAAAATAAACAGCCAAAATGCTAGAAATATGCTAATAAGCAACTAGTTAATAATGAGAATTGGTCCCTAAAGTGTTACCATTCTATGTTTCACATGCATGTTTTGCTTTAGTTATTGTGGCCCTATGCTAACTCAGTCTTGTGTTTTTGCTTCCCACCAGTTGACAGAAGTGAATTTGAATAACATGCTGTGTCCTGCTGTCTCTGACCCCTTCTATGGACCATGGTACCGAGTGTGGGCGACGGGCCACCAGACTGCCCTGACATTACTGCACGGCAAGGCTCTGACCATCCTCTCGCAGCACACCGCTCCCACATGCCGTTATTTATTGGATATAGCACATCTACGCAACAAGAAGTTGGACTAGTGTTTTTATCAGCAGACTAACATGGACAAAACCTGAACTGGAACTTGTCCAGCTTCCTAGAAAAAAAGTGTAGTACATTTTTTATGTATATATATATATCTATCTTTTTTTTTTCTTTTTGTTGTTTGGTCCAAACCTGGTTTCTCAAAGCTGGATCATTAGATCGAAATACTGTTTTAACACCATAGGAGCAGGACTCAAGCAGCATAAACCTTGCCTTGTTCTTTTTAGTTTTAAAGTTTAGCAAAATGAAGATTCATTGAACTCAGAACAGATGTAACCTTTCTTCTCAAGTTGCCTTCTTTAGTTACATTCAACAGGGGGCCAACCCAGTTCCATTTACTCAACTGATGCAGTTATAAATGCTGAATTTCCTCACGCCTTGCATGCTGGTGAGGCATTTTCAATAGATTTTCTCAAAATGGCATTCTGTTAATATTGTAGACCTGTTGTGGAAAGCATAAATGTAGTGGTACTGTGTCTAGGAGATTTTCCAGAGTCTATTTCCAGCTCCCAAGCAGTCTCTTTCTTTCAAACTGGTATGTAAATAGTTATGACTAAATTTTAAGCTGAAGCTATTAGCTGTGGTCACGTCCACTAAACATTTTCTGTTGGCTTAAAGTGATTCCATTTGCTGTTTGATCAAGTACACACACACTCTACTGATCATATTATCCATGGGAAATGATAGTGTTTTTTGTATGTTCACATGTATACACAAAAAAGTCCAATATGTAGTCAAATTAAGGAAAAATAAGTTCCATCACCAACCACATTAGGGGCTCTTTTGTCTAGTCCCAAAACTGCTCCGATCAAGTGTTTTCCCAGCTGTTTGCATGTCAAGCCCAGAAACTACGATTTGCTGAACAGTTTGTGGCTGTTGCAGTCATGCAAGAAATGCCAATTTGAGCGATCTAGTGATCTATTATGGGATCACTCTCATTTCAATGTAACTTGACTGAAAGGGAAACCTGTCTGTCTTGGTGTCATTTTTGTACATATGTTTTTATCGATATTAAAGGTCTTCTTCAACATGTCATTGATGAAGACTATTGGTTTCACAAGGTGCCAAACAAAAAAATTTGTCTGTGAAGCATAAAGACACCTAATGCCTTATTCTTTCAGAATTAATTTTTATTGGATAAATGATTTAAAAGGTAATAACAATAATGTTTTAAAACTACATTATCATTGCCACAGCCATAGCTCACATACCCACATATAACCCATCTATCCCCCCACCCCCAACACATTTTTTTTTTTTTGGTGTAGATTTTGTAATTTTTTTTTGAGCCATACTACCATATTCATAATAAATGCCCATTTCAAGTCTCATCACACTAACAGCAATTCAGTGGGGTTAAATGATCTAGTTCTACAGGGGAGTTGTCTCTCTCTCTCTCTCTCTATATATATATATATTTTTTTTTATCAAGTCATTACTTTAGCTATTTCAAGTTCTTAAAGGAAGAAAGAATCCAAAATCAAAATAGAAACAAAAAGTGGTGGGCATATGGGGCTACACCAGGCAACCCCGTTTCCCACAATGACAACACCGCAAGCTGTCAGTCATTGAAGGGCGTGTTCAAAACTCATCTTCTCAAAGTTCCAGAACATAGAAAACCACTAAAATAATTTAGAAACTAGGTCCAAAATATTTTTTTTTAAAAAGAATTAACTCGATATACAAAAACAGTCATTGTGTTTACTTTTTTAACACTTTTTTTTTTTTTTACAAAAAAGTTTTCAAACTAATTTATTGTAGTTCTTACATTATTTTTTTAATCATCATCATCATCATCATTATTATTAATTATACTTTTTTACCCCCATATCTATCAGTGCGATTGTATGCCAGTGCAGCTACTGGGTCCAGAGTAAAGAAAAGAGGCTTTTTATTTTTTATTTTTTTCTTTAAATGGCATTTAAAAATAAGGATTAACTCATCTTTTGTATAAAGTATAACTGCTGGTCTTAGGAAAAAAATAAAATAAAAAAAAAAAACCTTAAGAAACCCATAAATCTAAGAGGCACGCTATGGGGTTTTCTTTCTTTACAAAAATATATAATAATAACAACAATGATGAAAACAAACAAACAAAAAAAAGTACAACCTAGTATTACGGTCATTGACACCGTGCAAGGTCTCAAAGACAGCTACAATGAAAATTCATTGAACTTAGGTAGCTAAAATCCTAAAACAACATTAGAAATTGTACAAAAAAAAAAAGATACACAGAAACAGAAGACATTTCTCTTGCAGGGAAGGTTTTTGGAAGGACAGGAAGGCAGGTCTGTAGAGCAGCATTTGGACATGGCTGGAGGCATCTTTGGTTCGGTTGAACACACAAAGGTAACATGAGCCAAACGGCTTTCAAAGGACTATGGGTTCAACAGCGAGCGTGAAGCTCGTCTGCAGGTGTTACAACCCAACATGTATGCCTAAAATGAGCATTTGCTATACACACCAAACACTAATCCCAGTTGTGTTGTTAAAAATGACAGAAACCCAAAGACAGCATAGCGAGAAAATGCTTTTTGACCCAATCTTTGAGCAATGTAACTGTAGGACAGGTACTGAGTTTCTACAGTGTTTAAATGTGCCTGGGATTGCTAATGTCCTCAAAGTGCATGTTCAAACTACTCTAGGAATCATGAAAATATTTTGTTCCATTTGCAGTCTTTTCACAACTGATTTTTCTTAACTTAAAATCTATCGACATATCTGACAGAACCAAAAACGAAAGAACCAACGTGTCTTTCATCGCATAGTGTGGCTTGCAACCGAACGAACCAATGATATTTGAACAAATGTTGTTAGCAAAGTAAACTCAGCACATTGAACCTCATTATCGCTGTAGTTTTGGCCATATGGAGGCAACAGCGTTCGGCTAGTTAAGCCAGCCGTCTTTCAAAACGGCGATGTACATGAACGCGAACATCCACAGCATTAACAAAGCGAGAGACTCCAGGGTAATTGTATGTTGCGTAAATTTGCACATCTATAACAGATGAGATGTTAAGCATATGCCCGAATCCCCCAGGCCATGAGGGAAAGATGGGGTTAGACTCGTCACTACTTGTCCTTTCAAACCTGCAGGAGATTGTGTTACACTGGTAGGGGGAAAAAAAACAAAAAAAAAACACCTGTAAAACAGATCTGCATATATTGAGGATAATAATAAAGTCTGATATGATCAATGAGTCCGCATGACCAGTCACATTTGCTGTGACCACCCCCGACATGAGGTCCGATAGCACCATTTTATATAGTCTTTTTTTTTTCTCGTATCTATATAGCAGTGAAACAAGCATGCCATGTTTAACAGGTGGCCTCCTATTCATGCAACAAATGTATTGCAAAGGTCAATACATCAGATTTCAAATGCAAAGACTTAGTTGATTTTGCAGCAGAAAAAAATGTTCAGTTTGTGCTGTTTTAATGGACCAACAAACGAGGCCCTGATCGTCCAACTAGAAACACAATAACCGGGTTTAAAAAAAAATCAGATAGTTAAAGGGTTGTTAAAGACCACAAATGTGTCACACTTTATGTGACTCTTAAACGGGCATCTTTGCCCAAAAACTCAATGCAAAAGTTGCTGTTCATGTTGTGAAATAATCGGTCTCAAGGTAGTTGAGCACTCGGGGCAACATTTGCTGGTCCACATCATAACCATTTTTAAGGCAAAACAACTGAAATCAGGTTTTTTTTTTCTTTAGGTTTTAGTGAGCTGGCTAAAGACTGTGGATGGAACCCCAAAAGCCCTTAACATTTTGCATATGAAAACAAAACACAGAAATCGTTCCCGATTTTCACAAGAACCTCACCCATTATTTTCCTTTCAGAAGTGGTCGAAAAGCGAGTCCACTGCTTCTACAGACAATAAAAACAAGTGATATTCAGTCTACCTCCTGGTCTTTGAAAAAAAGAAAAAGAAAAAAGCTGTATCAAAATAACACTGCCGCCTTTCAGAGCAAGAGTTGAAAATGGGTCTAATAAGAGAATAAATCGTCAAGTGAGAAAACTATGAAAACACTTACAACCGTAGTAACTCCCTGGTGTGACATGACAACATTAATCAAACAAGCTTCACCGCGAGATGTTGAGGGGTTCAGAAGCCGCCACAACAGCTGTGCCTGTTTGACTTGAAGATCCGCAAGTTATCGTCTCAATTACAGCGACTGTAAAGTCTGCGCCTTCGTATGGAGGTGTGAACATTGTTGCCATGCGAGACAGAAACGGACATATTCATCCATAATACCAGATCATTAAAAACTAAACCGAGAGCTTTCTGAAGCATCCTCTTGAGAGTGAAGATTCCCGTGCCAGGTAAACAGACCAAGAGAGAAAGGAATTAAAAACAGCCATTTAGAGCAACCACTCTGCTACAGCATGCATTAAAAATTTGACCTTGGTCTCTCACAAAGGTGTTCCTCTCTGTGTGACAAAATAGGAGCGATACAAAATTCAGACTGACTTGAATCTGATGTCTCTCTGACTATCCATTTACACCCTTACTCCGAGTACAGACCTATACTTTCAATCTCACAAACAACACTAAGAAATACTAATACAACACATCACCACGAGAAACAAAATAACAGACATGTGGTTTAATATGCTTTTACATTTTTCCTAGCAACACCAGACAAAAAAGGGCTAACTATTTATCTAAGTTAGCTCAGTTCAAATCAACTCCAGTAATGCTAAGAGCAACAGCCTTTTACATTATGGGGAAAATATTCTGGTGTACCCAAAAGAGAGTTTGAGGGGGGGAAAAAAAAACACTTGACTAGTTCTTCACTGCCTAACCCAACAATGCTCAAGATAAAACAAGGAAAACAAAACCACCACTCATGAGGAACTGCACAGAGAGGAACGAGAATCCCTTAAACCCTGTGGCTGCCTATATGATAAAAGACAAACTAATAAGAAACTGAAAAAAATTGAGAAAGTCACTAAAGCTGAGCGAGCGTACATACAATCTGAGCAAAAGCATAACTACTCCAACATTTAATATGACTTATTTCCATCCACAGACTGAGAAACCTGATTTTAGGAAATTTGTTGAAACAAACAAAAAAAGCATTTGTTTATTTGCTTAAAAATGGGAAGG